TGTGTGTGTGTGTGTGTGTGTGTGTGTGTGTGTGTGTGTTAATTTTACCTCGTTGCCAAAAGAATAGAGGGGTCTGAGATAAAACCCTCTGGAAAGCGAACTCTTCCATGTTATTCTCTTCTAATGCGGATTATGCGATGGAATTTGGGCCTCACGCTGTTTATGCTATGTATTTCTTTCTGGCTTCTCCCTCCAGCCAGACAGCACGTCCAGAGCGCGGAGTTTCGGTGTACGTCTGTATAAGCATCCTGACAGCTCCTTTCATTTGCTTATTGCAGGTCTCTTTTGTGGAAGACACTGCGCTACTTGTTGAGGTTTTCTGGAGGACAAAACACTCTTTAAACTGGGAAAAACAAACAACAAATGTAGTAGCTAGATCCCAATGATTCCCTGATTTAAACAAGAATCCTGAACTTGGCTCGACTTGTTTGGTTCTTTTTGCTTCTGTTTTCACTCCTCTTCTGTCTCTCGAGATGTCTAGCCTAGCCGTGGATCAAAATAATCTAAAGAAATTAACTGTAAATTTGGTAGGGTGAATCTGAACCAAGAGGTGTAGGAGAAGCCAGTAGATGCTCTGAGTATCCCGCGGTGCGCAAAGAGTTAAAGGACTGTAGGCAGGGGGCGGAGCCGAGTGCTGGAGGCGGTCTTGGAACTGCCGTCATAGACTGGTCCACAGCAACGTTGTTAAACAAAGCTGCTGGCCAATAATACTGCAGGATCAACACCAGTGGCTCGCAGGCTGTCCAATGGGAGCAGATGTTGGAGTTGCGCGGCAGTTCAGCTTCCTGAGGCGCAGTGGGCGTGGTCACGGAAGGCTAGAGCTGTTCCCCTGTGTAGAATTAGGGGTGGAGGTTTCTATGGCTCTCTCTGAAGCTGGGGCCCGGCCGCGGACGTGGGACGCCAGCCCCTCGGAGCACAGGAAGTGGGTGGAAGTAGGTGTCCGGAGGGCGACTGTGAATGTCGGACTTCAGTTTGGCCCCGGGGCTCTTGTGTCCCTCCCTGGGTTTGGTTTCAGCCCAGTGGTATAGAAGTGACTTGGGCGGCCCTAAAAAGGGACATAATCACTTTATTTATTTATTTTTCCCTGTACCGGGAATCAAACTCGAGACATGATTTTTGACCAAGCCTAGAGCTGCATGACTTCTGGCTCCCCATCTGATGTTCTGGCTACTTCCAAGCCCCTTCCACTTTCATAGTTTATTAATAACTTCTAGTTTACATCTCTCCTCCCACGATTCAAAGCCAGCACCTTTACCTCACCTTCCTAATTCGACAACTGAGTTATGGGTAGAATTATCAGCCTAGAGGTCAAGTCGTTTGCATCTTTTTTGAGGGGTAGATTTTAGCTATCATTAAGTTTTCTTGTGAATTAAAATTAGGACAATGAAACTACTTTTCAGAGCCCTTCTGCTGGGCTGAGTTTTAGATGTTTTGAAGTTCAAATTTCATGTAAATAAACAAGAGAACAGTTTCTATCATACTAACAAGATATTTAATATTCTTTAGGTATTTAAAGCATGTGATGAAGATAATAAAGGCTATCTAAGCAGAGAAGACTTTAAGGTTGCTGTTGTAATGCTGTTTGGTTACAAGCCTTCCAAGGTAGAGCTTTCTTTATGTATTTGGGAATGGGATGGACAATAATATGAATGGGTCCTGAGAAAAAATGTCCTGGGATAGCTTAGGATGTTCATAAAACACATTGCTGATTTCTAAGCAATATCAGATTTCACTAGTGCTAAATTTTACTCTGTTCTTAAGGATCCAACTCAGGGATGAATTAAAATCTATCTCACTTGAGCCCTGGAAATACATCTCCACCAAGCTGCCAATAACTATAATATATATAAGATGTTAGAGTGATTTCAAGAGGGTGGGCTGAAAGAAGGATGTTAATAGGAGAAATTCACCTAGGAGACATGTAGTGTCATCCCTTTAAAAATTGTTGTAATACACACATATAATCCCAACACTCTATGAGGCTGAGAAAGGAAGATTGCAAGTTTGAGCCCAGCCCGGAAAACTAAGTGACTTAGAAAGACTTTGTCTCAAAATTAAAAACAACAAAATTTGAAAATTTAAAAGGGCAGGGATGAGCTAGGCATCATCTGTGGCACGAATCTGTAAACCCAGCACTCTGGGGACTGAGGCAGGAAGATCAAGCCCAGCCTGGGAAATTTAGAGACATAGACCCTGTGTCAAAATTAAAAAGAGATGGGGATGTAGCTCAGTGTGAAGGCCCCGGATTTAGTCCCACTATGGCAAAAAAAAAAAAAAAAAAAAATTGTTTAAATTATAAATGTAATGCAGTAATGCAAGGCTAAAATTCGAAGATTGCATGTTTCCAGCATGGGCACCTTAGTGAGAACCTATCCCCAAATAAAAGGTGAAATAAATAAAAGCACTGGAGATGTAGCTCAGAGTTAAAGTGCTTGCCCAGCACCTATGAAGTTGTGTATTTAATTGCTAGCAACACACACACACACACACACACACACACACACACGTTATCCATTCACATTGTCAAAAAAATATCTTCTTACTGGAAGGTCTAAGTACTCAGGGGTTACTGCTATTAGCCAGTTTCTTGTGTATGCTTCTAAAAATTCCCATCTGTAACAAACATCTATATGCAATCTTTATTGTAAATATCAGGTGCATACTATTCCTATTTTATTTTAATTTTATTCTTAAAAATACAACAACCTACAAGCATATACCACTATCACATTTTTAAAAGGGTTGTTTGTATAGCATTTCTTTTTTTGTTATTTAGGTTATTTCTATTAGTTTTCATTCCTACAAACATTGCTGCAATGAACATCCTTTTATATCTAAACACATGTAGAAGCCAGGCATGATGGCATATGGCTGTAATCTCAGCTCTCAGGATCCCGAGGCAAGAGGATCACAGTGAGTTCAAGGCCAGCCTGTACTACAAAGCAGTACCCTGTCTCAAACAAACAACAACAACCACCTCACCACCCCAAAACACATATGGACACAGAGATTTATGTCTTTATGGATGTGTATCTTGGAATAAATTGCTAGATGTATAATGGCTCTGGGATATGTGCATTTGAAGTATTTTGGGTGTTTGCTCTTCAGAAAAACTTGTACCATTAATGACACTTGAGTTGAATCTCAGTGAACCTCTTCTCTTTAGCAAGTTTCCTAGCAAAGCTCTGTCTTTGTACTGTTCTGCTTGCCTGGCACTTGCATTCGGGAGATGGATCCCTTCTTGTTAAGCTTGTGAGCTGGAACTAAGGACAGTCAGGTACCTTCCACATTCAAGAAATTAAGCTAACCATCAAGCAAAGGGAGAACTCTGGGATCTGCCTGGAATGCTTCTCTCCTTAGCTTGGCAGTCAGTTATAGCCTCATGAATGAGTTCTACCTTTCTGTCAGCTTACAAATGCCAGACCCTGTATTGTTCCACTTCTGCACCCTTCTGAGTGCTTAAGGGCATCACCACTTCATAGTCAGTTTGTCCTTTTGACTCAGGGTGCATGAGCAGCCCACGTGGATTCCTAGTGGTTTGACTATTCAGACATACTTAGTTGCAGAGAAGGTGGTTACTTTGCTCAGAGAAGTAGGCAGGCTGACTCTCCAAAACCATAGCTTTCCTGCTAACCTGCAATCACTGCAGCTGGAATTCCAGTGCATATCATCTGAGAAGACTCTGAAGAATGATATTTAACTTGGGTTCACGTGGAAAGATATTTTGTCTCATTTTGCCTTTGTGAGGAATATATAAGGAATTTAATGACATATACAGTGATGTGGTAACACTGTATATATACTTGATGAAATTTAATAACTTTTGCTTTTCATAATGGATTATTAAGGTTTTGAATTTTTATTTTTTAGCAAAAAATAAACATACTTTTTATTTTTTAACATACTTTATTTTATTTTTTTAACATACTTTGAGTCACTAAACAATAAAGCAATGACATAGCAGTACAGTATACTTATCAGTCATTTGTACAATAAGCTTATTAAATAGGTGACACCTATTTATTAAATATGTACATTCCATGAAATTTAACAGATGTCAGGGTGCATAACAGTGGGTTTCAAAAATCCATCTTACTTATCTACTGTAAATCTTTACTTTGACATAATAGTAGCTGGCTATGTATCTCAGTACCTTTCCCTGAGAGATGCAGGAAGCAAGCTCTGTGTTTAGCCACTTGGTACAATGAGTGGCAAGATGTGTGCACCTGTGCAGAAGTGTCAAACTGGGGTTTTCACCCACACTGTACTCCGCCTAACAGATTTTGCATGTGTTTACCTGAGCATCACACGGGATATAATATACCCCCCACTCTCTATACCTGTGCAGAAGTGTCAAACTGGGGTTTTCACCCACACTGTACTCCGCCTAACAGATTTTGCATGTGTTTACCTGAGCATCACACGGGATATAATATACCCCCACCACTCTAGGATTTAAAAATTTTTTTTTTTTTTACTTTTCTCGTACAACAGATCTTTCATTCAGTACAATGGGACCTGAAAAAACAGACTTGCAAGTTTTGGAGGAAGTCAAAAGTGAATCCTCAAATACCCATGATGGATCATGAAAATGATCCATTATGGTAAAATACATGTTTTCATAACAGAAGAGTGGTATGGGTGGATGATAATGATGATAACTTTGACTTTACCATGTGAGCCAAAGTCCCTGTGATGGTGAAATGGGGCAAGACTTGACTGATACAGACACAGGGAATGTAGGTCTGCTTGATTTAAATGACAAGAAAACAGCTGTGTGAGTGCATATTTAACTAGTTAGAACATTGCAAAATGGTCATGCAATCAAATGGAACTATCCAATGTTAGAACTAGGTCCAAAAATATAGTGAGTACCTTGGCAGGGGTGAAATATATTGGACAGAATGCCTGCACTGCCATTCAGCATCAGAAATTGTAACAGATGTAATGCTAGAAGATGTGAAATACACAAAGATTGAAATACAAATAAAACATTCTGTTTGTACCAATAGCCATTCTCAGAAATGTATTATGGCACTTCGCTAGCTGAACTCAAAGTGTTTATAGGTCTGCTATACTTAGCAGGCCTTTCTCATGCTAATCATAGCAATGTAAATGACTTATGGAAAAGCTTAGTGTGGGCTTGAGGTTTGTAGAATAACAGTTACACCGAGAAGTTTTGGTTTCCTTCAAAACTGCCTGAGACTCGAGGACAAAAGCACTCAACAAGAAAGAAACAGAACTGATGCTCTGGCTGCTATCTGGTCATTGACAGATTTGTGAGTAGTTCCAAGCAATTTACACACCATCTGAGTACATGACTATTGAGGAACATTTTGCAGTATTTCATGGCCACCACAGCTTCAAGAAGTGCACGCTAAAAAAAAAGAAAGCAAAACAAAAAAAACTTTCAAAATATGGCATAAAAATTTATGCCCTTGTAGATGCAAAAACATACCATGCTTTTATTTAGAAACTTATCCTGGAACTCAGCCGCCAGGTCCTTATTCATATAGTAATAAGCCAAATGATGCTGTGAACAGACTTGTTGCTCCCATCTCCCAAACTAATCAGAATGTGACATTAGACAATTGGCTTACCAGCTTCCAATTGATGTTACATTTACTAACAGAGCACAAGTTGATCAGAGTAGGAACTATGTGCAGGAAGAAAGCAGAAATTTCAAAGAAAGTGTTGTAATTTTGAAACAGAATTGTATAGTACAATCTTGGGACTTCAGAAAAATTTACACTGGTCTCATATATAGCAAAGAAAAACAAACTGGTACTGCTGATGTCAACATTGCGCTGTGATGGAAATATCGATAGGGAAACCTTGACAAAACAAAAACCTGAGATGGAAACTTTCTATGACTAAACCAAAGGTGGAGTAGATGTTGTTGATGAATTATGCAGCAAATATGATGTCACTTGAAACACAAAGCACTGGCCAGTGGTTGTGTTTTACTTAATCCTAAACAGGTATGGCATAAATAGTTGGATAGTTTACAAAGAAAATAAGTGCAAGATACCATGGAGAAATTTTATTAGAAGATTGGGACTGGAACTCATAAGAGATGATTTACAGCACAAGAAAAACAAGTTTTTTCTGCCGAGGGAACTATGCAAAAAAAATTTGTGAAACACACTGGTGAACTGACAGGTGAACAGGCAGGTGCAGCATCTCAAAGACCTACTACCACAACAGGAAAACCAAAAAGATGTCAACTGTGCCCTACAATCATCAAGAAGGTTATACACCATGGCCAAGTTGGATTCATCCTAGGGATGCAGGGATGGTTCAACATATGCAAATCAACAAGTGTAATACACTATATGAACAAAGCCAAGGACAAAAACTATGTGATCCTCTCAATAGATGCAAAACAAGTGTTTGAAAAGGTCTAACACCTATTCATGATAAAAACCTTTCAGAAAATCGGTGTAGATGGTCTTTATCTCAATCTGATAAAAGCCATCTATGACAAACCAATAGCCACTATTATATTAAATGGACTAAAAGTGAAGGTTTTCACTCTAAAAGCAGGAACAAGACAAGGATGTCCACTGTCACCATCCTTGTTTAATATATTTCTGGAAACACTAGCCAGAGCAATTAGACAAGAGAAAGAGATAAAAGGAATAAGGATAGGAAAGGAAGAAGTTAAATTATCATTATTTGCAGATGACATGATACTCTACATAGAAGACACCCCAAGTTCCAAAAGACTTTTAGATTTAATAACCAAATGTAGTAGTGTATCTGGATACAAAGTCAACACTAAAAAAGCAGTAATATTTCTTAACAGGAATAACAAACTCAATGAGAGAGAAATTGGGGAAATGATAGCTTTTACAATACTATCCAAAAAAATGAAATACCCAGGAATCAGTCTAGTGAAGGAAAAGACTTCTACACTGAAAACTACAGTACTCTGAAAGAGGAAATGGAAGAGTATGTCAGAAAATGAAAAGATACCCCTTGTTTTTGGGTAGGAAGAACCAATATAATGAAAATAGCCATACTTCTGAAATTGTTATACCGATTCAATACAATTGCAATAAAAATCCCAATAGCATGTCTCTTAAAAATAAAAAATCCTAAAATTAATTTGGAACCAGAAGAGACCTGGAATAGCAAAGACAATTCTGGGCAACAAAGGCAAGGCAGAGGGTACCACAATCACTGACTTTAAATTATACTAAAAAGTTATAGTGCTAAAACAGCATGGCACTGACATACCTGAGGATCAATGGGACAGACTAGAGGATGCAGGAACAACTCTGGATGTACTCAACCACCTTATCTTTGACAAAGGAGCCAAATACCTTCACTGGAAGAGAGATAGCCTCTTTAATAAATGGTGCTGGAAAAACTGGCTTCCTGCATGCTGAAGATTGAAACTAGACCCATATCTTTTATCATGCAATAACCTAAATCAATGATCTAGATATTAAAATGGAAGTACTGAATCTGCTGGAAGAGAGAATAGGTAGAAGGTGTGAGGACAGGAGCAAGCAAAGACTTCATGAACAAAACACAGACCGCATGGGAAATGCTACAAAGATCAACAACTGGGACCTCATCCTATTAAAAAGCTTTTGTATGGCAAGAGAAACCACCAACATGATGAAGAGACAACCCACAGAGTGGGAACAACTTTTTACCAGCTATTCAGATAAAGGATTATTATCTAGACTATATAAAGAACTAAAAAATCAGACCCCCTAATTTAAAGACTGAATGCAAAAATGGGCATCTGCAATAAAAAGACACTTCTTAGATGAAGAATTAGAAACAATAAATAAATTTATGAAAAAAATTTTCAACATCACTAGTCATTCATGAAATGCAAATTTAAAAAATGATGAGATATCATCTCACTCCAAGAATGAACGGCTGCTATCAAGAAATCAACCAATAACAAATGTTGGAGGGGCTGTGGAGAAAAAGGAATCCTCCTACAGTGCTGGTGGGAGTGTAGACTGGTGCCACCACTGTGGAAATCAGTATGGAGATTTCTCAGAAAACTAAAACTAGAGATTCCTTTTGACCCAGCTGTATGTCTTTTTGGTATCTTCCTGAAAATTAAAAGTATCATACTATAGTGATGTATGCACATCCATTTTTGTAGCAGCACAATTTATAATAGCTAAACCTTGGAAAGAGCCCAAATGCCCATCAACTGATGAGTGGATAAAGAAGATTTTTTAAATGCAGTGGAGTACTACTCTGCCATAAAGAAGGATGAATTTCAGACATTTATAGCTAAATGTATGGACCTTGACACCATACTCTTCAGTGAAATAAATTGGACACACATATTTAAATACCACATTGTTTTACTGGTGTGGGGAACTGAAAGTGGAAATAAAGACTGAAATGTTTAATGGGTGCTGGGGAATGGGAAGAAAATGTTCAAATGGGAAGGGGAACAAGGGAGGAGGGAGGGAGAAAGGAAGGAAGGGACAAGAAAAAATGAAAATAGAAGGAGAAATGGAAGCAAAGTTTCTGTACATAGGGAGGGGAGAGGGCGTGAGGGAGGAAATGGGTTAAAATAAAATTGAAAAAAGAGAAGTGTGCTATTGTGCAATATTCATGAGTGAACACTGCCTTGAGTGTGACAACTGAAGCAAAGATTATTTTTCTTGTAGAGTTCTATTGGTATTTTCATTGTAGGTCACATAGATTTTTATTTTTGTTGTTATCTTTTAGGTTTTATAAGCAAATAGCTGATGTGAAAATGGTGGTTATTCTAAATGTGTAATTATGTATTAAGAATTTAGCACTTTATTTTGTTCATATTTTATGTTCCTATTAACTACATGTTGTTTAGTAAGAACCTCCTGACAAAACAGCAAGACCAGTGAGATGTCAGGTCTGCCATATGAGAAGTCCAGGAAAGCAAAACACATGTGCTGTCAGTGTAAGCAATACATTGTATAAATCATGTTTGAAGACTGACTTAGGTGTGGTAACGGAAGTGAAGTTTTTTTGTTTTTTTTTTGGTAGAGTATGATTGGTATTTTCATTGTAGTTCACATAGGTTATGTCTGATGTTCTTTCCTAGACTTTGTACAACAAAAGCTAGTTGATGTTGAAAATTCTGATGCTTTTTTATAAACAATAAATATTAAAAATGCAATACTTTATTTTTGTGTTGGTTTTCCTGTTAAATACTCATTGTTTAATAAAACTTAAAATTAAAATTAATAATTAATAGAAATATTCTGAAGAATAAATGTGGGTTTGACACACCCATGTTTATGCACCTTTATGATGAAAAATGTGTTATGCTCCCCCACTTAAATTTAATGCTAGGTTGAGAGTTGAGGTTTAATTTTTAAATATTACTTTTGAACTCAAATGATAACTGAATTTGTGTCAGTTAATATAATGAGATTATGTTTAAAAATTTCTATCATAGAAAATGTTTATTTTTGGGCTGGGGATTTAGCTCAGTGGTTCCACCTCCTGCCTTGCAAGCACAAGGACCTGATCCCCAGTACCAAAAAGAAAAGAAAATGTTTATTTTGAAATGTTAACTGTGAAGTTATTTTAAATAGCCATAATATAAGCTATGATGCTATTTCATAAAAGGATGCATGTGTAATCATTCATATAATTGGTTACAAAATGAAGTTTTTTGAGTCTTCTTGTTTGATAAAAGGGACACTTGCTACTGGTAGTCACTAAATGAAGCACAGGTCCTACTCTGAATGAATTTACCGTTTAGTGTAGACAGACCTATAAAACCTCTCTGTGGTAGATAACAAGAGAAGAGGACAAGAATGAAAACCTAGTTCTACAGGCAGGTGTGATAGGAATCTGGGCAGGAATCAGGTAGACTTGAGAAGCTAGCCTACCATGATAGAAGTGTCTTGGAACACTTTGTGGCTGCTGGGCCAACTTACCCTTAGTGATTGACTGGATTGGTGGTGGAAAAGAATAGCAGGACCATTGAGACTGGAAGGATTGTGATGCCACCAAGTGAGAAAAAATTCAGATAGAGCAGGTTTGGGGGGCATTGAGTTCAGATTGGAGCAGGTTGAGTTTGTGGCAGCTGTGTGCAATTCAGGTACCTTTGCTCATCAAAAACTGTGCTGGGTGGTGAAAACCTTGAATTTTGCTGCCTCCCTTAGCTATAGGAAGTGAAATTGGGCTAGAGATAGATTTGGGGTGTCTCGCTTTACAAGGACAAGCTCAAAACTTGAGACTCAATGGCACTACCCAGGATGATTTTGTATAATATGAAGAGCAGTAATTTGAGGAAAGAACATTAAGAAGCCAGCTTTTAATGGTAGGCAGGGGTCTCCATGAAGAAAATAGAGTGGGAATCATTTGGGAGGGACAAAAGGGGCCAGGAAAGTGCTTAGAATCCGAGACGATGGCAAATTCAAGACCGACAGTAGAGAAAGTATCAGGTGTTGTCAGAATTCGAATTCACCAATGTTTATAACGCCCTTGTAACAAAGGGGAAGATGCTTCTATTTTAATATTTAATGAAAGCAAGTCCTCAAACTTAACATAAAGTAGGTTTTCAAATGTTATATTTTGCATAGGAAACAAGCTGGACTAGACCAAAATATTAACAGTCATTTTCATTGGCTGGCTTTTAAAAGTATTTCTTCTTAATAATTTCTTATATTTCTCATTTTGTCATGTTATTTTACAATCAAGAAAAAATTCATAAAGCCATAGAGCCCATTGTAACAATTACTGGTTTTTGTCTAAAGCAAAAAGGATATATTTTCGGTTATGGATACATTTTAGGTATGGGACAGCTAAACTGCTTTTGTGTGCCTGAACTGTATTGGTCAGTGGAATAAAGTTTAGTGGTGGGGGGACATTAGAGTTTATGGCAGATTATTGATTGGTAACTTACAGATCTTGATGGAAAACTAGAATGCCTATTAAGGCTGTTCCGTGACATTACCTAACTGCTGGGTTCAATAAAGTTGGTTTCTCATAAAATACATCCTTTCCCTTGCCTTAGGAATTAAGAACTTGTGCTTTGAAAACATTCAGTAAACTTACATCTTATTATTCTTTCCTCACTTCTAGATAGAAGCAGATTCTGTGATGTCTTCAAGAAATCCCAACACTTCTGGTAATATGAAAGTTAATATTAATTTTTTGTACCCTTATTTAGAGATTTACACAATGAAAAATAGAAATACCATAATTAAAAGCATAGAGACTGTGCATTGTTTCAGCACATCCTTATTTTATGTCTCATTTCTCACAAGAAAATTTTGATAACTTAGATTAACAAGTGTGGTGTGCTTGTAGTAGGAAAATTTAAACTGTCAGAAAACATACAGACAAAAATGTCACATACAACTTCAGCAGCTAGAGGATGATGCTGAGTTTGGTGACACGAGCAAGTGGATGAATGGAAGTAACACTTACTGAGATGGCAATCTGGTGGAAAATGAAAGGGGTTGGGGAACACCAAGAATTGCATTTTGAATTTGTTAAGTTTGAGAAATTTCAGATTACAATGTCAAAGAAATTTATTGGCTTGTGTGAATATTGAACTCAGAGAAAAGCTCTGAGCTAAAGAAATCAATTTGGGAATCATCAGCATGTGTAGATGGTTTTTAAAATCATGGAACAGATGAGATCGACCAGAGAGTTAAGAGTGGACTGAGAACCTTACATACTGCAGCTAACAGCTGTGAGGCAGAGGATGAAGAAAAGCAGAGGAAACAGGAATCCAGGAAGGTGAGAGCAAAGTGTGGGATCAAAAGCCAAGAGAAGGGGTCTCTTAATGAAAGTGTGATCAGCATTACCAAAGGAAGAAAGGGAAAAGGAAAATAATGAGAAAAGAAAGATAAAATGGAAACAAAGCTCTTGTAAATAAGAGGAAAAGGAGTAAAAGAGAGGGAAGAGGAATGGAAAAATATAAATAAAGATATACCATGTACAGGGCTGGGGATTTAGCTCAGTGGTGCCGCTGCCTGCCCTGCAAGCACGAGGTCCCAAGTTTGATTCCCGGTACCAAAAAAAAAAAAAAAAAA